GAAAATGTATTGTAAAAGAGAAGGATCCTTGGAAATTCCCTTAAGGGATTCGAGATATAGGGTGTTTAGGGAAAGATGTTGTCATATTTTATTTTAATAAAATATGTGTGTTTCAAAGTATGAAAATGATAAGTCATGAAGTGAAATGGTTTGAAAAGAAATCATGGAAAAATATATTGATTTCTTAATTTTAGGCCCACGGTCCTTTAAAGTAAAATACTATGATTTATGTTGGAAATTCGTAAGGGAATACTTGATCAAATTAAAGAACACGAACGATTATAAAGAGGTCTAGACTTGTGTATTGGCATAGCATTGACAAAAACGTAAAGAAACGAAAAGAAGCGATAAAATGTATGCCTTCTGTGAAAGCTAGGCATGATGGCATTTTATTAATTTGTATTTATGGATCCTTGCTCTAGGTGTACCTAGGGACTAAAAAGGAATTGGAATCTCTTGAAGATATATAAGTAACTTGAGCCACAAGTGAGTGGATTGATAAAGCTTCAAGAGGTAAGCTCTATGTTTAAGGAGTCTTTTCCTGCTTGAGTGCTCCACCATGGTTAGTGAACTATGGTTGGACTGTATGACTGTTATTTAGATGCTTTGTATAGATGCATTCATATAGAGTTATTTGATAACATGATATGTTTTGCTATGATATGACTTCTGTAATATGATTTCTGTAACAATCTCTGGCCATTGATTGTATAGTACCCGGATGTCCGCTTTGGGGTCCTCCCTCGGGACTGATAGTGTACGCCTCCGATATGTCTGGTTCCGCATTGGGGTCCTCCCTCGGGAACACGTGCGTTGATTTCCGCTTGGGGTCCTCCCTTGGGAATGACATCGCACACTTCTGATATGATATGGATATATGCTCTGTTCTGTTATGATATCTGTTATATGTTGTATTCGTATACTCTGTATCTGACTTTCATGCAGGAGTGAGCCAGGGGTATGGAGAATTATCTATAAACCTGGAGCTTATTGAGATTTATAATCTCACCCCTCGTTGGGGCCATATTTTCAGGTGCCCAGATCCCCGGTGAGACCTCTCGAGTCAGGGACGCTACCCGTGGCCGAGGATTTTGGACGTATTGGATTTTGAGTAGCTGTAGGCTACTTCTATTTTGGAGTATAGTGCTTTCATTTAGTATTTCAGTATTTTGTGGATCATGATGTTAGATCCTTTATTTTGTATATGGCCTGTATATGTTTTGTACATGTCTGTCGGTTTGATGCATGTGCATTTGAGTATTCAGGCACGTTATATGATGATGCAATATTCAAATAGGTTTACGTTTTGATGGCATGCTGTTAGATATAGTGGCACAGAACCATGTTATGCATGCACCCATGTATGGGTATTTGATTATATTTGGATATCTGGTATTTCTGAATTGATATGTGGTATAAACTGTTTATCAGGAAATGCTTCTGAGTAGGATTGGAAAATCTCCAGTTGTCCGATTTATAGAGGAAACTCTGCCCGATTTTCGTTTACGCAGAGTAAGAATTAAGTTAAAAAAAAAGTTAGCTCATATTTTTAAAAATAAGTCTTCCGCTGTTTCTGTTTATATCATGTGTATGTTAATTGAACCGGCTCGAGAAGGGGATGTTACACAGGCTGAATTTTGACCACGTAATTCGCTACCCTGTGTAGCGAATTATTCCAACCAATTGTGACTTGCCACATTAGCAAGCATAATCCATTACACAGGGTAGCGAATTGTGCCACGTGGCATTTTGAAAAATTTTACTCTTGACATGACAGTCGAGTAAATTTTTTTTGAAGCGTGACAAAATGGTCACTGTTCCATCATGTGTTCTATACCATATCAATATTTATTACTCCATTATTTTAAATTCATATATGTATATTTGAGTATAGAAATTAAAAGGAAGAAATTTTGAGTATATATATATATATATATATATATATATATATATATATATATATATCCGTGTTAATCGGTTTAATCCATGACTTATCAATTCAATAAGTGATTTATGAACCCAATACCCACACAGAGTCGATTGTTGGCCAAAGTTTTATAACATTGGTTTGCGAGACAAAGAAAATGAGAGACAAATAAATATTAAAAAGTAGTTAAAAAAATCCTTTTGTTAATTGTTTATTATTCTAATTGCAAGATAATTATTGTATAAAATATTATATTTAAAATTATGAAAGATTAAATTAATTAAGAGATATCATCGAAAAAAGAGATCAAGTAAAAGATGAGTTTATTAAGATACTAAATTTTATTATACTTATATCTCAAATACAAATAAATAGGGACATGATCATTTGATACTAAAATTTAAATGCTGATTTTCGTCAATCTAACGGTTATAATTTATTAAAAATTAATAATCAAATAATAAATATGACCCAATAAATTATAATTGTTAAAATAATAGAAATGAACGGTTAAAATTTGATGTCAAAGGATTCGACCCCAAATAAATATTGTACATAATTGATCAATATATTGATACTAGCTTCATAAAAATAAGTATTACCAGAAGAATCTTGAAAAAACAAATACTTAATTATGCTCGACACTGTCTTGTATTAAGTGTATGTTTAATAATAATTTATTTTAAAAAATTACTTAATTTTATAGAACTCTGTAAAAATTATAAAAGAAATTTTTATTTTAAAATATATTAAAGTATACACTGAATTATTTATCAAAAATTGAATTTTTTGGTCAAAATTCACCTATTAAGCAAGCGAAAGGACTGTTCGTTTTTCCCCATCTTTTGTCCAAACTTGTCCCAATACAATTCAAAGTTGCCAAATAACTTAAAAGTTGCAATTACACCAGGGATAAAGAAGTTCATGGAGGACCAATTCAAATTCAATCATCCCTCTAAGTGCAATGATGATTCTTTCATGAATAAAATAAAATCAAACAGAAAACCAGAAAGAAAATAGACAATAAAACTCAACAAGAGGAGTAAACAAAAAAAAAAAAAAAAAAAGGAGCACTTCACATACTTCAGTGCGTAATTTATTGCTATTAGTCTATTACAATTGAATATCTCTAACCTATTAGAAACATCTTGTAACAAGAAAAACAAAAAGTTAAGCGAACCCAATGTTTTGCACAGTATACATAAACAAAGCCAGTGTTTCCCTTTTCGTTCCTCACATGTATTTTGCTCTTTTTTATGCACCCCTTGTAAATCATATCACTATTACCCTTTACCAATGTAGCTAGTTTCTTTCTTAATGAATGACTCAGGCACTTGGAACTAGAGACAATTAACGTTGCCCCCACTTCAGAAACTAATGTAACCCTTTACTCGTTGTAAGGGTCAGATTCAATTTACTAAGATAAAAAAAAAAAAAAGGTTTGTTCTCTGCCCAATTTAATAATACCATCAATGTGTTCATGAGAAATTCAGAACTCTGACCCCTAATAAAATCCTCATTGCTTATTGTATTCACTATTAGATCTTTGCTTTAATGCTTGGCGTTAGATTAATGTCTTCAAGGGACTGTCAATGCTCCTACTAATCCATTCATTGTGTTATAACAGTAGGACAGAATCAAGCAAACTATTATAACACTCTTGTTTCCCCTTTAGAATACCCCCACCTTGGATGAATCCATCTTATGTCATAGCGTTGATATAGTACCACATAGTTAATCGTATTACACAAATCAGTATTTATAACTCGTTGACATGCTTGTCAGTACGCCGAGTTGGGTAGCTTCAACTTGTAACCCAAGTGGGGGCATCAAAGTGATGGAACATGGTTGTGGCTTCGCTTGGTTGGGCCTGTTGATGCACTATGCTGGCCTGCCCGCTCCAAGTTAAGAGTGGAGGCATGGGGCCAGGGCGAAAGCCCAAGCAATTCATGACCCTTAAAACGGAGGGCACAGCGTGAGGCTGGCTTCACAGAGCAGCGAACACTTCCTTCTCCTAACAGTGGAGGGATAACAGGCTGCTGCACTTCTGGTCCATTATAACCTAGTGTGCCAAGCTACTTGAACCATCACTTTTTTGGTTGTTGAGTGAAAACCCATAATGCAAAATTCATTCACATCCTCTCTTTTTCTTTTTTTGGTACATCACATCCTCTCTAATAAAATAGATAACCCCATTACCTTTTCGATTCGTAATGCCAATGGAATATTCGTCATGCTTCTCTTCTGACATCGATTTTGTTATTGAAAAATAGATAAAAACAAATCCATTTGTTATCTGTTTAATAAACTACTTACATGATAATTATTTTATAAAATATTATACTTATAAGTATGAAAGATAAAAAATTAAGTAAGAGATATCATCGAAAAAAAGAGAATAAGTAAACCTTATATATTTTTTTTTATAAAAATAATAATTTATTATATTCATATTTCAGACTCAAATAAACATTGGAAATAATTGTATAGATACTTCATGAAAGTAAAGATTACCAAAAGAATCTTTAAAAAACATTATCTTTAATTAAGTGCATGTTTAATAATATTTTATCAAATGATAATATTTTTTATGAAACTATCTTAAAATATTGTAAAAGAAAATTTTTTATTCTAAAATTAAATAATATAAGCACGCACTGAATTATTTATCAAAAATTGAAATTTGTGGTCCAAAATTCACTGCATAGGATGCTACTAGGCAAGAGAAAGAAATATTCGTTTTTCCTTGTCTTTGGTACAACTTGTCTCAATTGGCTGCCCAAAATTTACTTTTCAAAGCTGCCAAAATAACTTACAAGTTGCAACAACAAATGGGATCAAAAAGTTACATGCACGGTGAACCAATTCAAATTTAATCATCCATTTGAGTGCAATGATTTTTTTCATGAATTAAATCAAACCAAACAGAAAACCAGAAAGAAAATAGGCAATAAAACTCAACAAGAGTAAAAAAGAATTGGTATACAAAATAAAATAAAAAAGAGTAAAAAAGAATTGAATATTCATATACTTCAATGGATAATTTATTTCTATTACAATTGAATAACTCTAAGATAATGAAACAACTTGTAACAAGAAAAAATGTTGAGCAAACCTCATGTTTTACTTATACATAAACAAACAATTTTTTTTGAATAGATATCAACCGGTGTCTGAAGTCCTAATAAACCCGACTAATCCAGTTTCAGGTTTGAACCTCTCCACCCTTTCCAGAAATTGTGATTCTTAAGAATCGAATTAATTACTTTTTCGACAGGTCAAATCCTGAGATCTAACTGAATCGTTACTAGACCAACAACTCTTAAGTGCTTATAATATCATATCACCATAACCCTTTACCAATCTAGCTAATTTTTTTTTTTTTTTGGTTAATTAATGAATGACTGTGGCTCTTGTAGCTTGAGATAACGTTGCCCCCAGCTTCTAACTCTTTACTTGTTATAATGGTCAAATTCAATTCGCTATACAAGATATTTATTTTATTTAGGAAAAAAGTTTACTGTGTGCCCAATTAAATAATACCATCAATGTGTTCATGAAAAAATTTAGAACTCTGGCAATTCTATTGACTCCCCTGATCTGATGAACAAGTCATACCAAAAATCCATGCCATCATCAAAGTTTGAACTATTACCATAACTCTGTTGGAAGGTATCCACTGAATGAAATGGATATTGAGGTGATAGTTCATTTGAGATTGTCCAAGAATGTGATGGCATGGTTGATCTTTCATCATTCATTGTTGTTGTCTCTGACCAAAAGCTTTCATCAATTTCAGGCATTGTCTCAAGAGACTCTATGTCTTCACTCATGATGGTGTTTTTGTTCATGTGTTTTCCTTCACTAATATTGGTGAGTGATGAAAAATCACTAGAAGAAGTGCATGCTGATGTAGTCTCCATTTCAGTGCAATAAAGACTGGAATGTTCTGATTGAGTTGGTGTGCTGGAATTGGAATCAGATTGCATGATTTTTGGTTTTGAAACTATTTTTCTCTCTGAATTGTGTTGGTTGGTTTTCAATGCCCTCTTCTTCAAGTGGGTGTGCCACACATTTTTTATTTCATTGTCAGTTCTTCCTGGTAATTTTGCTGCTATTGCTGACCACCTGGAAACAAAGATCAAGTATTTAATGTATGAGATATTTGCATGAGATTCTTGGTTAAGTGATTAAGAAAACAACAAACTTAGAGTGGATTGATTATTGGATTTTATAGACAGTAAATCCCATGCACATATTGGTATGTACGTCTAGCATATATTATAGTTGCGTGTGCTATGAACATTAAGTGGCGTGTAAGGCAGATAAAATCAGAGAATCTTGCTACCCCACATGTTTACTAGTCTTAATTTTTTGTTTTAGTACTCATGTTCTCTGCATCTGCATTTGAAATATTTTGAACTTTGGACAAGAAAAACCCTACAAGCTAATGTGATTGGTATCTATGCTTATTTACTCCATTTCGTTTCAAATTATTTTGTTTTGAAGTAATTTCATAATGATTAAAAAAATTATTAACTAGTCTCAACTATAAAAAGTATGTTTGTATTTTATTTCTTTTTAAAATTAAAATGCTCAAAATATTATTACTACGCTAATGTTTCTTCTATTAAGTAAAAATAGTAAGAGATACAAAGTAATACTTTGAATAAAAAAAGGGATGAAAATCCGTAAAAGGAAAGAGTATACATACTCTGATTTTTTTTATTTTTTTTTAAATTTTTTTTTGGTAAATCAGTTAGGCTGAAATTAATCCCCCACTTATGTGCCCAAAGATTTTGTCTATAGTCACAAAGAGTCTTTCCAATAATTAAACTTGGATACACTCCCTTAGCTATGCCACCCTTTCGGGTTAGTCACAAAGAGTCTTTCCAATAATGCTAAAAGATAAATATTTTCTCCAATTGATTTAAAAGGCATATAATTTACCAAAATAACGTGGTTAGATGGGTTGTGAGTGTTCAAATTGCGCATCATCATTAAATAGGTTAAAAAACCAATTTTTCTTATACACTGTTAACTCATTTTCTCCCACCACTTAAATATTACTTATCAGAAAAATTAAGTAAAAGAAAAGAAGGATGAAGTTGAAAACACAAATCCAGTTTTGAAAACAGAATCTCTCATTACAATTTCAGCAAATGATCATCAAACCGCACCCCGTGTGAACTAATAAACTGGATCGGTGGCATCTTATTCACTAACGATACTTAAACCTTTTTATGTTTCCTCCTGATTAACATTCTGCTATGAAGTTAAGAACAACTATGAATGATTGATGAATGTCAATGATTTTAGGAAGGAATCAATGAACATATATATATATATATATATATATACATACCTGTTCCCGATCATCTCATGCATCTTAATGATAGTTTCCTCTTCTGCATTTGAGAAGTTTCCTCTCTTGATATCAGGACTTAAATAGTTAATCCAGCGAAGTCTGCAGCTTTTTCCACACCTTAATAGTCCTGAGCAATTGTTCAGAGAGAAACCAGAACAAAATCAATACACACAAGATCATAACATTCCAAATCACCCCAAACATACCAAAAATGGAATACCCAAAAGCAATTTGTTTATTCAGAAAAGTACCAGCTTGCTTTGGGAGTGCACGCCAGTTGCTATGGCCATGTTTTTGGATATAAGATACGAGAATTTGATCTTCCTCTGGGGTCCAAGGACCCTTCTTCAATCCCACTTTTTCACAACATGGGGCTCTACCCATCTTCAAATTTCACTGAAAGGTCACAACTTTGAATCCAAAAAATAAGATAATGCTGCGTATAAAAATTGTCTCACCCTTAGTTAGGATTTAACAAGGAATGGTTAATTTATTGTGCTATGGTATCACTATATGTAGCTAGCTAGTAAATTAGCTCTTGCTATCTTCAAATGGGATTGTTCAACTTCATTTCCCAAGGCTATTTATCCTTGGATATTCCGCAGCCACCAATATGAGTTAGAATGGTCCAAGGAAACAACACGACATTTTCATGTTCAAACCATTTGGGCTTTAGCTGTGTTTCCTGGAAATAGAGGCTCTCTCTTTCTCTCTCTATCGAAAATGACATTTGTAATTTTTGGCTTTTTAAGTGACACTTAGAGAGTTAAAGTTTCATTACGTGTCACTTTGTGTCGCATCATGGGTTGAACATTCGAAAATCCGTCGAGGATAAGTAACACTTGGTCTATATGATTGATTGCAACTGACATTTTTTGAGCAGATTCATCGGAGGCTTCGTGAACTAAACGTCTATAATGATGAAAAAAGGTGTTTATATAAAATAAAAACTTTATATTAATTTTTGTTAAGGTTCTATCAATTTATTGTTGTTGTAGAAAAATTATCTACGTTCGTATTCGTATGCTGGAAAACATTGATAAATATTTTTCTTTTGTTAATAGTACTCTTTTATATTACTATTGTGTGTTGAATAAAAAAAGTTTTTAAAGACTTAAATTAATTATAAACTAGCACTTACGTGAATTAAATAAATCTATATATAGAAAAAAAAATAAGATTGATGTATTTAGAGACAAACACTGAGCTAAGTTCTGAATAGACATATGTATTTAGTACTTTATGAGCTTTATTAACGCAATTGGAGAGAAACTGAGAATCTTTCTCATACTATAGAGATAATTATATGTGGGATCCATCTACTTATAGAAGAAAAAAAACATGAAAATCGATGTATGTGTAGGAGAGAAAAACACTTTCTTACAACATAAGAGTATATTTTTCCTTACTTTATTTATGCTTTAATGAACTTTAAATTAAATTACTAGCTAGAGACACATATACAACACATATAATTACAAGTCTCGATTTTGAATTATGGGAATGAAAAAAATAATTGTTGGGGAGCCGCTCCCTTTCCACGATATTAATTGAGAAAATTATTATTATTATTATTATATATAAGTGCTAAGTCGATTCTTCCTATTAGGGGAAATAAATTCGTTATCACTTCAACCAATAATTATTGATAATTTATTAGACTTATGTCATTCTTCTACTGTGGTATGGGGCAGGATGGTCTGTTCCAAAAATAGAAAATAAAAGGGGATAAGACGGAAAATATAAGAAAAGAGAGGGATATAAGAGTAATTTTTTTTACCATAAAGGAAAAGGACCACAATTTTTTTTATACTCCTGGACTATATTAAAAAAATCCTGTCATTACAGGTTTTTGATTAGTTTAATAGTATGAGTTATATTTATTAAGGGGTTTGATTTTCTCATGTTAAATGAGAATTCAATTCTCATGTTGTAGAGATAAAAAGCATGTGAGACCCAGGTGATAGAAAAAATTATATGTAGGACCCATGTCAGCACGGAAATCGAAGGGTGTGTAGGAAAATTTGAATTCTCATGTTAAATGAGAATTATAAAACCCATTTATTAATTTATTATGTAACCATTTCTCTTAAATTTGGACAAGTATATATACGAAGGTTAACATTATTCCAACAAAAGAAAAGTATAAAACGTTTTCTTTATATAAATTTTAGGTCCAATAACAATTACACATAATTACACGAAATATTATTATTTTAGAACATATAAAATATGGAGAGAAAAAATATTTTTCCTTTCAAAAAATTGTCATTTAGTTAAAATTATTATTATTTTATTTAATATTTAAATTAAAAAACCCTCATTTTCTCTAACCATGATTTCTATTTCTCTCACTATAAAACACAGTAATTTTAATTAAAATGACATAATTTTATATCCTTTTAAAAAATAAACACTAATCTTAAGCACACAGACAGAATCAAACAACTTTGCTCATAGTTGGTTCCATGTTATGCTTTATCCATGCAGAAAGCCGGCGAGGGACAGGCTTGCACTCATAGAAATTCAACCAATTGTTAAATCACGTGCTTTGATTTCTTCTGTGAGCAGTACAAGTGGCCAATGGGCCGGGCAGCCTCTTAACTCTTTCATATTATATTTCATCCAAAGAAGAAAGGATAAACAAATAAAAAGCTATGATTATGGAGAAACAAGATAGTATTTGCTTTAACAAAAATGATTTTTTCGCAAATTATGATTAAATCCCACAAAATGTGCGATAAAACCAGAGAAAAGTAGAGAGAGAATAAGAAAAGAAAATTTTATAGTTCAAACTAACAGAGATTAACTAATATAAACCAGTTTCAAGAGTAAGAAATTGAGCAATAAGGAAATTCAAAACTTCATACAAACAAAAACAGAATTGAGCAACTAGAAAAACATAAGATAACGACAGTGTCTGTTTGAATTATGTTTCCAAAAACAGTTTTTTAACTTTCGAAAAAAAGAACATGTTTGATAATGCATGTTTTGTAAAAATAATTCTAAAAGGAGTAGCACCCTCAACGTGACTCAGCAGGCTCCAAGTAGGGTTCCATCACCCCAGTAAGAGGAGTAGCACCCTCAACGTGACTCAGGCTCTCGTCCTGAAGGCTAGGTGGAGGTGGAGGTGGTGGCGGAGGAAACTGACCAACAACAGGACCAGTCCTCATCTCCTCCAACATGACTCTTGTAACACCCCGTGTATACACGGAATATTATCATTACATCGTATTAAGCTACGCTTAATGAAAAATGCGGAATGTCTTTTTTTCTTATCATTTATGACGTCATTATACTTAGCCAAGTTGATTTCTTAATCAATTTCATAAAATATCGCCTGTATGTAAATTGCAATAAGACATCTACTGAAATACCTCAATATATAGATATAAAGTGAGTATCTAAGTCACGGAATTACTTCACGTAATCCGGACAATATCTTGATACATTAATACAACTCTAAATAAAACAAGACATAACCAAGTCTACGTGGCATGGACAATCCCCATGCTCACCAAATAAATAGCATAAACAACCAAGTCTCACATAATAGTCCAAAATCATAAAGAAGCTAAAAGCATAAAAGCAGAATGCATAACCAGCATCCAACAAGTCAGCATATAATAACAGCAATATCTAACTCAGCTCCGGCCTCCTGCCCCCTGAGGTCTCAACCCCAACATTACCTGAACCTGAAATAAGCATTCCCCAAACGTGGGGTGAGATCTCTAAACTAGAAATCTCAGTAAGACAAGGGGTCCACAAGGATCTTCCACCCCAAGCTCACTTACATGTGCAATATAAGTTCTAAAAGCATTTATATCAATATAAGTTCCAAAACTATGCAGTGCGACAGATATTCATGCCATGTGTGTTTAAACTATTCTACTGGCCAGAGAAATGCAGGAATACGTCTATACCTACATGTAGTACAAGGAACACCGCTTGCACCTCACCCACAGCCTCACCATCTTGTATGTACCACATACTCAGGCTTACTGTATAGGTGGAACACCACATGCATATCATAAAGGCACTAGCATATAACAACTCAATAGCATTTCCAAAACATCAAAGCATGTTACATAGCATGCATATAACCATACCCCCATGGGACATGGTGGAACCACAACATGGCTAAACCGAGGACACGAAAGCTTACCTTGCAAGCTAGTTATCCCAGCCAAGAGTCCACAATCTCAAAGCTCAGACACAGCAGTATCACAATCTGTTAGGGACCAATAATACATCATTAGTCAAACTCTACAAGCATACACTTAAAGACAACGTCTTTCCTTTACGTTTTACGTCTTAAGGCTTCTAACAAAGCCACAAGCCCTTAATCACATGATTCTGACTTAGTTCATTAATTACAGAAGTTCAACTTCATCAATCTAGGGTCCATACACCTCCAATAGCCTACTGTAGACACAGCACAGCTACTGTTCTACGAAATCCCAGAATATCCGGATATTCCTCGGGGACATATCCGGATATCCATTTGGCAATATCCGGATATCAATATCCGGATACACATATCCGGATATTTCGCGACAAAATGCAGTTTCTGCATTTCGCGAAGATATCCTTCAAAGGTTCAATTTTTACTGATTACAGAAGCCTAAACATGCATTTCTAGGTGTGTTAGACATTACCCAACATTAGGTTATCATCTTAAGCCCATTACATGCATCAAGGTTCCATTTTTAAGCATAAAAACTCAAGTTCAAAGGTAGTGATCATACCACAGGCTAAAAACAGCAAAGAGGGGTGTCCTTGGAGCTCACAACAACTCCAAAGGTTCTGACTTTAACACCAAACGAAAATGCCACTCGAGCTTGGTTCTTTCTTCACAAAGGTTGACACTTTGAAGCTCACAAACCAAGAAGGAAGCTCCAACACTACAAACCACCAACTCAGCCCCTTCACAACCACAACACAGCCCCCAACACTCAGAAGCAAGGCCACCAACACCCTCCCAATGCTCACTCTCACTCACCACAAGTGTTTAGAAGAGAAAGTGTGAAGAAAATCAAAGGAAGAAGCTTCAAGGCTTGAAGCCAAGGGAAGGAAGACAAGGGAGCCAAGTTTTTGGTCAGCCTCCACAAAACTCACGTAGGAGAATATGTTTTCTAGGGTTTAGTGCCCTTAACAAGCCTATAAATAGTCATTTAACCACTTAACACACAGTATTAACTTTAATTGTTACGCTTAGTATTTTAATCCCAAACTCAAGATTCTTAACCTACTCAATTTTACAAGAATTACCATATTTTTATTATATTTTTCGGAGCACCTTTCTGCTACGCGCTTTTCATAGCCAGTATCAGTTTCTGGCACCAGTTCTCATTATTTTAACTTGAAACTCGTTTTACAAGTCCTATATATTATTCTAGGAATTATCATGCACTTATTATAATTTTCCGGGATACTTTTTCGGTACGCATTTATACCGACTAGCAGAACCGGTATCTGCACTTTTCTTCCGAAAAGCGACTTTCAGCATTCTTAATCACTTATCATAATTATTAAAGCCTCTTAAT